GTCTGTTATTATGTCCATTTAAATTTGTGTAAAATCGTTGATAAAGGGTCGTTATACGTTGGTAAACTGTTGGAAAGTGGAGGTCAGTATGTAGAGTTTTGTTAGACACGTATACTCAAGGTGCTTTTGTTATGAGTCGCGATAATTTTAATTGAAATCTTTGACGTTTTTGTAGATGGGTCTTTTTAGCAATGCCCCGTATATTTATGATGAGTATGCCCATATGAGCTTAAGTAAGTATGTATATGTATTCAGTTTCTGTTTAATTTTAGTTTTGAAGATTTAGAAAAAAGAGAGTAAAGTAGTTTGAGTCGTTTGTTAAGTGTCTTACATTTCATTTTAACATGCGGACCACATGTCATCCTTCTGTCGAAGGTGAGTCAAAGGTAAAGTACCGTGTCCGTTTGAGGAATTCGATTGTTGTCAATATAAACTGGAGGGCAAGTGTTTTTTAGAAGAGTAAATGTTGTATGTTTGGATTTTTCATGATTAAGTCGAAGTTTCCATTCTTAATGCGAAAAATACAGAAAACCTTGTCTTTTTACTAATCGTTCTCGCTTAGCGACTACCAAAGCAGATTAATTTCAGTATAACCATTATTTCTTGTTCTTAGGATTTTTCTAATGTATCCAATTTTCTTCGCAAGTAATGAAACGATTGCCATTTCAGTTATTTAAAAGTTATTAAATAATTCATACTCGACGTTGTGCTTGTTCAGAGATCACCCAACAGCAGAAATCTGTTTTTATCAGTGATCAACTTTCCACAAGTTATGTATATCACGATTTTCGGTGATTGGGAAACATCGAAGTACTCTTATCTATTTCCGATTACTTTTGGACAAGGGCTGCCTCGACACCGAAATCCCTTGTCGAATAAAGATTTTCTTGAATCATCTCTCTTCTATCGATGTCGCCGTCACCAATTTTAAATTTCTTTTATACCATCTCAGGAGGTTCCGTTCAGAAAGAGAAAGACTTCTTCAGAGTCTTACAACATATGAGTTTTTTCGATAAGTTACGCTTGCAACAAGGACGTAATCTTACTAACATATATTTTAAATTTGTATGTTTTTTAATCGAAAACTATAAACTCGTGACAAGACGAGGATATTTTGTCGAAGAATTAATTTAGTATAATCTAGGAATTAAAATGATATCGATTGTATACAAATACTATATAACTACAGCCAATTACGTTATATTCATTGGTGAAGTATACTGCTCACATATATTTTTTTATTATTACATACTTCCAAAAATATCACAATTAGTCTTGCCCAAATGCGAGACCGAGACTAGTCTTGGTCTTGAGCTAGAGTCTCGTAACAGTCTTGCAGTTACTTATTGGCTATATTACTATAGAGATATTACTGTATTTTTTTAGAGAGGAGAAACCTAACTAAGCTCGAATGAAAAATTAGAGGAGTTAAATGCAAAAGTATATTAGTTCTACCAATTATTAACATACAGTAGCTAAGATTGTCGAGTATTAGTTACTATTTTTACTTAATTTTTATTTTAAAAATCGATTTTTTTTACCAGTCCTGTTCTTGGTCTTGCAACAGTTAGGCGGCCTTGGTCTTTTTGGGCAACATTAATCACAATACAATCCTGATTTTGATTGTATTTTAATAATTAAGAGCATTAATTAATTAAGAACAAATAAAAGGAATTTGTGAATGATATTTTGTAAGAAAATATATCAAGTTTATGAAACATATTTATTGCTCTTTCAAATTAAAGAGCCAAAAATAAGCTACATGATTATTTCTTATTACACCCTTTATATTGTTATTACGTGTTGGAATATTTTTATACAAGTCTTGTGTCTGGTATGAGCGGTAATATTTGTAATTCTCCGTTATATATATATAACTATTAATATATTATATTTATAAAATATATTTTTTATAAAGATACCAATAACAAAACAAATTAAACAATAATAAAAAAAAATTAAGTTTCGGCCGGTGTATTAAATATGCGAACTCAACTGTTGATTTTTTATTAAATAAAAACATATAAAATTATGTAAACCACTCGTTCAAAGCAAAATTGTATTCATCAATATTCAGAAGGCATTCGTTTGTAAAGTCATCGTTAATATATTCATAATATTAATGGCGAATAATCAATGCAGCAATCCTGACGTTGTACAGTCATTATTATTATTTAATGGCATAAAATTTAAACAACGATGAATAATAGTCCAACATACTTTGTTGTAAATTTATTACTGTCAAGTTTTAGTTTCTCCAAAACAGGGTTACACAATCAACAAATCTAGTTACATCGACTAACACTAAATTATATTAATACATATTTAAGTTTTCATGTTTTGTTTTTGTATAGCTTTCGGAAAAACATTAGTACAATGATCGGTACAATAAAACTATTAAACTAAACTATTACTTTTTTTTAAATTGCATAGTGTCTTTGGAAATAAATATATTTACTTCACAATGTTTCATATTAAAAAAAATATATAATTTTGGAAAATAAGACGTAAAAAGTTTAAAATTTTAAAACAAAAAATATACTTACTTAATATATAATACTTAAACTAGACTCTCATTTCCAAAGTTAACCCTAATCGATTTTTATGGATATTAAGATAAGTATCGATTCCGTCAGTGTCGGTCCGATGGCACAATTTTTTTTTTTTCAAAAACAAATCTAAATAATAAAAAAGTTATTTTCCGAAAAAAAACATTTTTTTTCAATGAATATAATACAACTCGTATTTAATAAATATCCTTTAAAAAAATCATCAATAGAGTTTTTAACCGTTTCAGTCAAACAAAAATAAAAAATAAATTTATTTTATTGTAACATCATTGTGAACAAAAAGTTAAATTTTTATAATACGATTCTTATAACTCTTTTCCCACTGGCTCATAATCATTTTTTTCTCAAAAAAAATCCCAATCAATTTTTTTTTTTTTTTACAAAAACTGGTTTGGAAGTTTATTTCTTTCCAAAAGGGGTCCTATTCATGTTCCAATGTTTTTTTAATAACAACTAGAAAGATCTGTTTTTTGGTAATATGTTCGGGAATACATATAAAGAATTTATTGTTTAAAAAATATTGGTTTTGATAGCAAACCTCCTGAAAATTTTTTAAAAATTATTGGTGTCTTTCATGGAAATAAACGATTCAAATATAGTTACTACAAATATATATATATATATATATATATATATATATATATATATATATATATATATATATATGAATATATAAATGTATAGATTTATATATTACTTATTATATGATTATTATATTGTCTAGAAAAATTAACAATGAGTAGGTCTTGGTGAATCGTTTACTTTGATTTTGGATTCGTATTAAATAAAAGTCCATACTTTTTTATGAATATATATGCATATAAATATATATATTATGCCCACTATTATTCTCATGTATAATTTATACTTCATTTAATATGTTGCAGATATTTTACTCTTTCTCTTAGTTACCTTAGCAACTCTACATTTATAGGCTTAGATTAAGGGGAATATAATGATAACAGCGTACGTAAGTCAATTTTGCAATATTAAGAAATATAGATTTTGAAAAAGTCTAAATATATAATGATATTTGTATATTATACATATAATATTTAAGTAAATATTGTAATCATTACAAACTGAACCTCATCAAAACACAAACCCACGAGGTCATCCGGAACACATTTTCCATCCTAGTTGTAAGGCGTTTACCCGATATGTCGACTGTCATGATAGTTCGACGCCGATTGTCATGATAGTTCAACGCCGTTTAATTTTTTTTTTTTTAATACTATTTAGCTGGACAATATTCCGTGTATATTTCAACCTTTGCGATTTCAATAATTATGCTTATTTACGGCATGATCTCGAAATAAGCCATTTCAATTTTTTTTTTTTTTTTTACTCATCTTTGGACAAAATATTATACGTAATACTTTATTATGGTAGATCTCGAGGCGGTAACAAAATCAATACATGTTAAAGTCTTTGTGCAGTTCTGTTATATAGACAATTGTTTTGGAAGGTTGATATGGAACTCATCCTGATAAGAGAGACTTCAGTTAAGAGAAGTAATACAGTTTTTCATTAAGGCCATTTATACCATTATTGGCGTCTGCTGAGAAAATGTTGAGTCCGTGCTATATACTTGATGAGCCGGGAGGAACTAAAAATTGTCGGACTAATTAGAAGTAAAAAAAATTCATAAATGAATTAGCTTATCGAAGTCTTAATGTTTTAATAAGTGCTGCAAAATAGCACCAGTGACTGGTAGTGTCGGCGGTTATTAAAGTGATCCTTTCATTTTAAAGAATCACCTTACAAGATCCTACTACTTAGATTTTTCACGATTTGAATTCGAGGAATATTAGAGGATGTCCGTCCAAAGATAAGAAGATAAGAGCTCTCGCTCGCTTCGTTTATCAGGTGAGCCAACATTTGGATTTCCGATTCCAAGTATTTCCAATTCGAAGGATTGGTCGGAGTGGTCCAATTAGTTGGCCTCCAAGATCTCCAGACCTAACAGTACTAGATTATTGTTTTCGTGACGGGTACATAGATGAATAATGCAAATTAAATGTAATAAAAATTATGCAGACTTCATTAAAGGAAGATAATAATACTGACGACCTTCGAAGATGGAGCCGAAAATGTTAAGAAGTCAATGGTGGTATTTTTAAGCGTTTATTAAAATAAGGCTTAGTTAATAAATGTATGAATATTGTTTATTAGTGACATTTTATTTATTTGTAATTATCAAATTATATTTTAAAAATTGAAATTCAGAGAGGAACATATAATTTTTGTTTCCTGTCTTCAACAGACTGCTGGAGTTTAGCATGTTCCTCCCGACTTACTCTGACTAAATACAGATCTGCTTTCCTTTTTACCATGTTATGTTGGAGGTGACCACCTTCTTCCGACTGCCTCGAGCTCCTCCAGAAGCCGCAGACGCCCCGAGACCTATAGCTAATGGCATGACGGTAATTACTCTATCCTATACTCACTGTTCCGCTTGGCGCTGACATGGCCGTAGAGCCTGGAGAGGTCGATGGCCATGACGTGGTGGGGCCAGGCGATGCAGACGACCCCGACCGTGGCGGCGAGGACTAGCGCCGTCTGTGCTGGACTCATCTTGCGGTCTGCTCGGCTCCAAGGGTCGCTCCAGAGTGCTCCTGTCTCTGCCGTGCAGCGCCTGCGCCACTCGATACCTTTATTTTATTTACTATCCCCACCACCGCCCCCGCGTTCCTTTTATCCTCCACCTCCGATTCCTTTTTCTAACTTGGTCCTTTCTTTCTTTTTGGTTTGAATGTTTTTCTTTCCTTTATATCCTGTTCCGCCATAAGCTTGTGGCTCAATGCTGCCCTTGTTCGACTCGACTTCGACTCCGGTTGAAGGAATCGTCTCTTGCCCATTCAGCCGCAAACTATACAAGTCTACTTATATTCCAAACATTGTTTGGGTCATACTTAATTGTAAATCAACTGGAAAACCTTGTAAATTCTTTTTTTTTGTAAATGTCAAAATTGTTTTTTTTTTCGAAAACTAAACAAATTCCGGAATGAGTGGAGTGCGTCTTTTTACATAACAAGCAGTTACGGAATGGACGTAATCCGTAACAAATAATAATAATAATAATAATTATATTAACTTAACTTTTATTTTGTTAAATATCCTAATTGGTGAATCATGTATTATCTTTTAGTTTCTCACATAAAAGCACAAAGCCTAACATAGCCAGGTCAAGCTATCTCTAATAGCTAAGAAATAGTTATCTATAATGTACTGAGGGGACAGAAGACCCATTATCAAGAGGGAACAATAACCGATTTCGGCCAAAAGGCACTTTCACACAGACATCTTAAGAATATTAACTATTGATAACTTCCTTTGCCGTCCTCTTCCGACTTCTCCCACTCTTCCCCCTCTCCAGTCTTAGGTACATAAACCCCATGCTCCTAAGAAGAAATCGCTCATGTAGTTACATTCTTGAAGTCACACTCCTCATTCTAGGAGACCTGGAGTGAACTCGTGTAGTCAACCCATTACCCATAGTATATTACTCTGTATTTTAGATGCCATTTGAAATAGATATTATGAATAAAACCATTACTTATAAAATCTTCACTGCCTCCTATTCGTTAACTAAGCTTTCTTAGATGCATAAGCGTCCATCCCTATTCGGATGGTAGAGAGATGTTTCCCGCCAATGTTTGGAAGGATCCCATTCGTTCCCAACAATATTTTAAAAGGGCGTAAAATAACTCAATTCCAAAGCAATAAGTTCACTATTATTATTGTAGTATTCTTTCGTCTTAAATCAACTTCTGTTTAGTCACGTTTACATTCCACTGTCCAGCAAGGACTCCGAGTTGTTGACCATATATCCTCAACCCTAGAAAGCAAGCAGTATTGCTCGGGTGCATTTCTGGACATAGCGCAAGCTTTTGACCGGGTATGGCACGCCGGATTACTCTTCAAGCTTAAAATCCATCTACCACAGTCCTTATACCTAGTACTCCGATCCTATCTTTCCGACCGCTCCTTCCGAGTTCGCTGTGGCACCGAATTCTCCGACTGTTACTCAATTGAGGCTGGCGTTCCTCAAGGCAGCGTCTTGGGCCCCATCCTTTACATTCTCTTTACCGCTGATATTCCTGTCCATCCCGATACCCTCCTGGCAACTTTCGCTGATGACACTGCTATCCTTTCTTCCAACTCAGATCCTGAAACAGCGTCCGCAAACTTACAAAGGCACCTCTTCCTGATTGAACACTGGTGTAAGAAATGGCGCATTAAGGTAAATGAATCTAAATGTAAACACATTACCTTCACCCTTCGGCGTAATACCTGCCCACCAGTTTATTTTAACTCCATCCAGCTTCCTTTCTCAGATACAGTCCGGTATCTTGGCTTTCTCTTAGACAGACGACGAACATGGAATCCACATACTCGACTTAAAAGACAGGAACTTAACAGACGATATGGCCACCTATATAGACTACTGAATAGAAAATCTAAACTTTCTGGTGAAAACAAATTACTGATCTACAAGACAATACTGAAACCCATCTGGACTTACGGACTAGAACTATGGGGAACAGCCAAATTTTCTAACATCAAACGCATTCAATCCTTTCAGTCTAAAGTCCTCCGTACAATAGTCAATGCTCCCTTCTATGTAACCAATAAAACCCTACACCATGACCTTAATATCCCATTTATTCTTGATCTTATCCCAGCCAAATTTTCCAAATTTCACCAGAACCTTTCTCATCACCCAAATCCCGTTGTACAATCCCTATCAAGCACCACCCATCCCTACAATCCCCTTCGTAGGTTAAAGCGGCAGTGGCCACGAGACCTTTTGTAAATATGGATATTTTGGAGTTCTAGCAATGGCCAGATTCTCCACTCAAGTCATGAGTGTCTGTGGCTGTAGCGCTCTTACTCATCCTCCGCTGGTTTAAAATACCAGTGAAGTGGCTGAGGGAGAGGCGTAGGGATCTCCTAAGCCTCCCTTTTCCCTCCACATGTGGAGGGGACAGGATTGGTTCGGAGATCACCTGGCAAATTGTAAATAATGTATGTTTTATATAAGGTGTTTGTTTTACTTTTATTTCTATTTTTATTTACTTATGTGTATATATATATTTTTTTTTCTTTACTCTTTTGTTCTTTCTTCTTATTCTTTTGTTATTACTTTATTTATTTATATTTTTGTATATACGGTATGAATGCAATCTCTGAACTCTATTATAAGTGTCCTTAACTGTGACAAATTGTAATATTTCTGAATAAAGTGTTTTAATAATAAAAAAAAAGTCACGTTTACATTTTGAATCCAAACGCGGTTGTTCTTCATTGAGCTCCGTATAGATGAATGATGCGTGATATCTAGCGTAAGGTATGAAGTGTTAGAAAAAAAAAATTTTCTTTAAAATGTCTTATACCTACGTTGTGAGAATTTTGAATTCAGTAGATAATTCGCGAATAATAAGTTTTTACGAGTATTTACTTAGTATGGACGAGGATTGCCATTTTATTAATCAATTCTGTTAGAGAACGAACAAAGAAAAACTGAACCCATAATCTCTACCACTAAACCGAATTCCCAGTATGCACGTGTATATAATTGAACTATTCTATTATAAATAGAATTGACCGTAGAAAAAGTATGATGTCCTCAGAATATGAGCTTGATTGGTTTCCTGCTCTGAGTCATGGAGAAACTTCAATTAAGTGTTTTACATTTTAAAAAAAAATCAATTAAAATACTTTCGTCAATCCTTTCAGCGTCTACTTCCGGTATGCGGAAGACCTCAATACTATTAAATTATTATTTAATATATTTCTTTAATTTGATGGGTTTTATAACATGATCTGCTATGGAGAATTATCCGCTATAGTTTCACTCTACAGGATGTTTCAGAGTTAAGTAGCCAAACTGCAAAAATTAACTAAAGACCACAAAAAAAAAAAAAAAATCCTCTGAAAGTATGTCCGCAAACGCTTTGTTTAGAAGATATTCACACCTAACGATTTTCATTATTATGAATTATTTACAAATAAATACTAAATTAAAATATAGTAATTATTTAATTACTAGATATAATAATTATTAAATAATTACTATATTTTAATATAGTAATTATTTGACCGCACCCCCCGATTAACTCCTTCACATATTATATCAACGGTCAACCATCTCTACATCATTATGAATTGTTTACGTTATATGAAATAAATAAAACTTATTTATTTGTTCTAACTACTTTATCAATTAAATTTAAACATTAACATTCATATAAATGTTGTTCAATGTTATTTCCTTGAGCATTAAGACAGGCTCGGCATCTTTCTTCAACAGCAGCAGTGGCAGAACGGCGCTGGATTTGTGTTGTTTCACAATATATTATACTTCTTCGTAAGGAATTAAGTTCATTGGACCGGATTTGCTCAATCATACTCCATATTCCAATCAATGGATTGGAAGTGCAGGAGCAGTGGCTTGGCCTGCACGCTCCCCAGACCTGACACCACTGGATATTTTTTGTTTGGGGTGACATTAAACAAAAAGGCTATGCAATATCCAGTGCCGTCCTACCACTGCTGCTGTTGAAGAAAGATGAGGAGCTTGTCTTAATGCTCAAGGAAATCAGTTTGAACAACATTTAATATAAATGTTAATTTTTACATTTAATTAATAAAGTAGTTAAAACAAATAAATAGGTTTTATTCATTTCATATAAGGTAAATAATTCATAACAACGAAAATCTTTAAGTGTGAATATCTCCTAAACAAATCGTTTGCGGACATAGCTTCAAAGTTAATTTTTTTCTTGTTTTGAGGTCTTTAGTTAATTTCTGCAGTTGTCCACTTAAACCTGAAACACCCTGTATATTATGGCCTCCGTCTCTCTCTCTAATAATTGAGACGAAACGAAGCTCAGATTAATGTAGTGAGTTAAAGAATTGTAGACCGTTTAGAACTTTAGAAATAGCACTTTAATTTATAAAGACAAACAGTATATTAAGTACTGTATTACCGGTACTAGTCCTGTTACAAATGGGGAAAACTCTGAAAAAATCTGAGTTGTTCTAGAGGGACAACCAAATCTGTTTTAACCAAAGTGGAAAGGTCGAGATTCATTCCGTAAATCTGCTTCAAAATAAATTAGTAACTGCCCAGGTCAGACTTAAGAATGCTAAAGTATGCATCGCTTTAATGTGCCCGACCTTTGGTTACTGGAACCATGGAGACACATGCTCGAATAAAACGGCTCCAAAAAATTTTTTCAGGAGACGTTGAGTTCACTGGCGAGGTAACTTCTTTCACTGATACAATAAATAATTGTATAACATTAATTTTAGAATAAAAAAAATAATCTAGTTCTAAAATTAGATTGTCCCATAAGACCTTTCCCTTTTCTTCACTTGTTGGTTAAGGTTGATTTACTGTGTTGAATATGAACCGTTCTGCCCAATTATCTTGTTTCATCTCTCAGGTAGCCTTTTATACCCTTTTTTTCAAAATTGTTGATACTTACTTATAAAACATTCATTGAGATCCGCTTTTATTTCGCTTTAGGATTTTTGACAACTATCACTGAGAGAATTTTTTAACGAAAGAAACAAGTATTAACCGGAGGTAGCAAGGTCTGGGAAGTATGGAGGGTGAGGTAAAAAGTCCCAATCAAACTGAAAGAGTTTCTGTCGTACGGCAAACGATACATGCGGAATCGGACAAAAGACAAAAACTCTCACAGTTTGATTGAGATATTTTACCTTGCCCCATTCGATTATTACCCGTTTCTTTTGTTGAAAAATTCTCTCCGAGATAAAGGTCAAACAATTTTTTATTATTTAAATGATATTTACAACTGTATAAAAAAAATAAATCTAGTAAATTCGCACATGGATACATGTTGAGAAACTACCTGCTGGTAGCACTCTGATAATATGTCTGCATTAGGAGATCACGGGGTCATCTTCTTTTCAGGATCCTCGGAGGGTTATCAGGAATTGAATAGGAAGCAATGTTAGAAACAAGAGGGTTGGGATGGTTATGAAGTTTATAATGAAAGGATAGATATCTGGATTTTGCCAAATTTGAAACATAAGGAACATTAAGGTCATTGTGGATGAGTTTATTTGTAACAAAGTAAGGAGCATTGAGGATTTTACAAACAATGTTGGATTGTAAGGATTGGATACATGAGAAATTTGAAGGGTTTGGTGGAGCCCCATAGTTATACTCCGTAAGTCCAACTAGCCCTTATTATGGTCATGTATATGAGTCTTTTGTAATTATCGTAAGGTTAAAGCGTATGTCTAGTAAGTGCTGAAGTAGTCGGAAACGTCGAGTGGTTTCCTGTCGTTTTAGTCTGGTATGAAGATTCCAAGTTAGACGTTTGTCCAGGTGGAGTCCTAGGTAACGGATTTGTTCAATAGGAATAATTGAGGTGTTGTTAAAGGATACAGAAGGACAGGAAGTCATTGATTTACGACGATCAAACAATTTAAAAGCGAAATAAAAACGCATCTCGATAAATATTTTGCAATAATCTACAAGAATAGCAACCTGAGTGAAGTATCAAAATCCAACTCTATCAGCTATAAAAACAATCCATCCAAGAATTACAATTAAAAGTTCAAAATTCGACACTGATGGTCATTCACACCCGAACGGATCCGATAATTGGTTCTTATCCAAATATTACCCAGTAAACTCAACGAAGTATATACCTATAATTTGATCTCCAATATCCAGTAGTTACTAAATGAGTTCTCTCTCTCTCTCTGTCTCTTTCACACACCCACTCACTCTCTCCCACCCTCTTCTCTGTCCTTCCTTCCTCCCTCCACCTTAAAAACATTTAGGAAAAGTCTAAAGCTAGATTAACGGGTTAGACATAACACCTAACGCTTGGCATCCGGTTCAAGTCTGACAGTAATTTATATAATGCGTTCTTTAAAATCAGCAGTAGAGAGGTTTTTGGCACGCCCAGCCTCTTTAAACATTAATTGGGAACAACTCTTAATACTTCCTCTGAAACTTTTTAAAGCTTGTGACGGTATAATTGAGAAAAAGCATTGATCTAACGGTTTCACGTTGATAATAATTTAAAATATGAGAAATAGGAAATCTGTGTTTCAATCACATTTTAACAGCAATACAATTAGACTTGCCCTTAAGTGTGGCAAAATGTATTATTTCTCAATAAAAAGATTAAAGCAAAAAAAAAAATACAATTAGACTAAAAATTTAAGTTATATTCCTATGCTGATTCTACACATAGGGAAGCAACATCTCATATCCGTCCAATCTTCGTGAAGCTTTAATAGTTAATGCAATTATCCTTCATAAAGGATTTACATCATAAATAATCTAAGGACCCAGATTTGAGTAATTAGCCTGCCGTAAAAAGACAGTAGGAAAGTTTTAAATTATTAATAATATGAATTTGGATAATAAAAAAAAATTAAACGATGAATGGAAAAAGTCGCTTTCCCTACAGGTGGAAAAGGTAGGTTTCAGCTTAAAATAAAAATTCTAGATCTGATAAACAAGTAATTACTTTAACCAATTTAAGGGTTAAGAATGTCACGAAACTTGGTTGGTGATTGCGCAAGTTCAATGGTGATTTATTTATAGTGTACTTCTTTAAAATATCACTTTTAATATAATCCTCGAAAAATGGTTGTTTAAATAAAACTAAAACCTAACCGTTCTTAAATCTTGAATTTCATCATCCTGATATTCAGTGACACAATTTATTAGTCCCAAAATTATTTACTTAGTAATCAAAATTACTTACTTAGTTCCCCCAAAACTACTTACTTATTTATCAAAAATACTTACTCATTTGTCCCAAAACTAATCGGATTCACTTCTAAATAATTCAAAATTTGATATCTGTGAGCTAAGAGATTGAAGTTACGTACTTTGCGATTAAGCAATCCCGATCTTTTTCCACAATTAATTAGGGATATTATTATTATTAATAAGATTATTTGGTTCTTTTAAGCTTATTTCGTTTAAGGTTTAAAGTTTTTTTTTAATAACGTCAAGTATTAACCAACTCCTAATGCGATTGTTTTAAACTGGGAGTCTCATTGCTGACCATGTCGCCTCCTGGAAAAACGAAAACCTTTTTATATTGATTACTTTTTATTTTATTATTAATGTATACGTATTAATAATAATGTTCTCAACTAAATATTTCTTGAATTAGCTAAATCCTTTATAATCTCTCTCTTTCTCCATCTAAATTTGTTTTACTACCTTCCCATATAAATTGTTTTTTCTCTTAAAATGAGCAAGATAGAACGAGTCGAGAATGATAGAAGAACGACCACTATAACATCCAGGTCCGAGCAAGCAAGAGACAAACCCTCAAGCCTTCCTTGAAATCTAAGGGAACTTTACGAAACAAGAGACTACCAAGTTAATCGTTCGGTGCTAGCAAGAAGCCAAACCCTCACACCTTGCCCGGAATGAGAAAATCTACACTTGTTGTGTAGTCGAACATGTAAAGGGGATTTGAACGAAACAAGGGACAAACAAGTTAAATTTATTAACGTTTACATTAAAAATACTACATATATTTTAGTTTTATATACATTACGCCAATTATCACCAAACATTTTATTGATACGCTATTTAATTCGACGTTTCGACCATACTAAGGGTCATTTTCAAGTCTTGATGAGTCCTCCGTTATATATTCATCATTAATGTCGCAAATAATATGTTCAGTGAACATTAAATTGTCATGATCTATAGGTTTTTCATCTACGTCATTTCTGGAGGGACTGAAATAACAATAACATGAATGTTATGTCTTAAATACCATTTCAAATTATAATAGGAGAAAAGGGCCTACTACGATATATTACAACTAATCTATTCTAAACACAACAGGAAAAATACAGAGGCAATTTAATAATTTAAGGCAATTTAGGTATTGAACCTATTTTATTTTATTGAAATTCAGATAACTAACTAATACAAGAATGCCTAGAAATCTTAAACGTTCTCACGAAATATAAATCTTCACTATTCCTAAAATTGGTATCTTGAGGTTTTATTTGTTACATAAATTAGGCCATTATTCACCAACATTTCATTTATAAGCTTTTTTTATTACGACGTTTCGACCATCACTATGGCCATTTTCAAGTCTTATTGAGTCCTCCATTAGATATTCATTATTAATGTCGTATTAATTTGTTCAGAGAAAAATTAAATTGTCCTGCTATTTAAGAGTTTTCTCTATGTCATTTCTGGAGGGACTGAAATATAAATGAATCCGAAAGACGAACTGTTCTCGAGGGCGTTTCAATAGTATTTGAGTTGAGCAAGTTCGGATTGTTGTCGAGATTCAAGATTACACATTGTTATAAATAATTCATACGAAGTTGGAGCTGAATGGTGCTAGGATTTAGCTCAGCTATGAATATGCTCTTTATAGCCATTGTGAGAACACATGACAATGAGTTGGACAAGAGCTAAATTTTACATGCCTTCCCTAAATGTCCTTCTGGATAGGCATAGACGCCAAATCTCCACTTTACATACCTGAAATTTTTCTTCGATATATATATATAAATAATATATTTTATAAATTAAATAAGTCTGTCTCAAATCTGGTATTCAGCAATGATGTTCTTAAAATTCAAATAGCGGATTGATTCTCCAAAGTGAGAATTAGATTATTTTCAGTGCAACTAAGTATATTACATTAAGAAATGATTGTTCATTAAAAGTAATAGAGAAATAAAACAACAGCAGTAGGCGCAGCTATTACAGCTTCCTGGCAACACTTTTGGGAATGAATCCCAGGGAATTAGGGGAATGAAGTTTAACGGACGGAAACGGACTGCAGTCGTTGCGTCTACTCTTTGGCAACCTCAAGATGTAATTTACTAAGACGATATAAGCTCTAATCTTCCGACGAAAACTACCCTGCTTTACTGCTAAAAATAAAACAAGATAAAATATTTTGAGAAATATAAATTATGTATCAGCCAAAAAAATTAATGATAATAATAAAGTGTGAATTTGAAATGAAAATTCATGTTGTGGTAGAAATAACTCCACTAGACAAAAGAGCATTCACCGTAGAAAAAGAAATAACTCGTTATTGAAATCAATCCTTCACTCATCACGGGCGTCAAGCAAGCAACCTATCATAATCTGGTAGAATGAAGCCGAAAGGCGTGATTACTGTCATTGTTAACGTTCAACACTTCCCGTTGAAAACGTTATACGCGAATATGCTGAATTTTGTTAGTTTCTATTAAGCTAGGTAATTAATATCAGGTTATAATTGAGAAAATTCCAAACCACACAGCCTTGTTACTCCAAAATGCAGGCAAAGAAAAAATTAGTTAATTCAGGCATTGTCAGGATAGAAAAGAACAGCTAATCGAGCATTACTCCATGAAATCCAATCGCATACTGGAAGGAAGGTAAGGCAACAAAGTAAAGAAAGGTTACAATACAAACAGCGAAACAAACGACTGAAATATGAGAAAAAAAAAATATATGCTATATTTAACGAAAATTATAAATATTTTACATTAAAAAAATTAAATAAAAGCAATAAATATTAATTTTAAAAAATGAGGCATAAGGCTGTATGGTTTGGAAATTTTCAATCATAACCTAACATTTATGTTTTGTCTCTTGGTTGGTTTGTACTAATTTACATCAGTAATTTTTTATTTATTTAGAATTATAACAATCTGCCACGTGGACAATAGTATATAGTGATACATGAACACATGAACACCATATATACAGAAAATATAACATTAATAAAAGTAAAATAATAAAAAAAACTATGTACAATAAAAAAATAAAATAACCTAAAGATAAAACTAAATAAAATATATGCAATTAGGCAGGAAACCCTAAGCCAGGCTTCTCCCCCAAATATAGAAAGAAAAGAAAGGACTCCAAGAGATCCCTGCGCTACGCTCTCAACCGCGTCACTGGTGCTAAAGCCATTGGAATTTGAGCGAGAGCGCTGTAGCCACATACACTCATGTCTTGAGTGGAGAATCTGGCCATTGCCAGAACTCCAAGATATATACTACAATAGATCTCTGGCCCACTGCCGCTTCAACCTTCGAGAAGGATTGTAGTTATGAGTGGAAATAGATAGGGATTGTGCTAGGGGATTTGGATGATTTATAAGGTTCTGATGGAATTTAGAAAAATTTTTAGGGATAAGGTCGAGGACAAATGGGATATTAAGGTCGTGACCTAGGGTTTTGTTGGTTACATAGAACGGAGCATCCACTATTGTTTGGACTGAAAGGATTTTTTGGAAAATTTTGTTGTTTCCCAAAGGTCAAGTCCGTACGTCCAAATAGGTTTCAGAATTTTCTTGTATAAAGCTTCCTACTTCCATGAAGCCCTGTCATCTGCCCCAGATCCCAAATCTAAATGGCTAATCCTTCGCAAACTTTCCCTCTGTGAACCTTCCAGATCCCCTTCCTCACTGTTCTTTTCCGTTTCACCTGACGATTTAAATTCACATTTTATTTCTGCCTCCTCTACCTCTTCTCTTCCCTCCTCTTCCAACTTTGCTCCTGAGTCATCATTTAATGATGATGACTTTTATTTCTCCTACATTTCCCCGACTGACTTACTAACCGCAGTAATGAAATCCCACACCAATTCCATAGGACCAGATGGCATTCCTGTCAAATTGATAAAATTATGTCTCCCCGAAATCCTCCCAGTTCTCCGTTTCATTTACATTACATTTACATTACATTTATTCAATTTCTCCCTACAGAACTCAATATTCCCTTCCTCTTGGAAAAAAGCCATTGTACTCCCTGTAAATAAAAAGCCTAATCCATCCTCTCCCTAAGACTTTCGCCCAATCTCAATTCTTTCCAATCTCTCAAAACCCCTAGAAAGATTGGTGCAATCCCAAGTTTCCAATTTCCTACTCAAACCAACTCGATCCTCTCCAATCTGGTTTCCGTCCCGGCTACTCCACACAATCCGCCTTAATCAAAATTACTAATGATGTTCAGACTGCAATAGATAATAAACAACTAACTGTCCTTATACTTCTTGACTTCTCTAAAGCCTTTGATTCCATTAACCATCCCATCCTTTTCAACAAACTAAAAGCACTCTCCTTCTCCAATAGCTCCATCTCTTGGTTCCAATCTTTTCTATCACAACGCACCCAAGCAGTCTCCATTCCTAATCAACCACTATCTGCCTACCTGCCTTTATCCTCTGGAGTTGCCCAAGGATCTAGCATATCTCCTCTCCTTTTTAGTTCCTATATCAATGATCTCCATGACTCAATTCTCCATTGTTCCCACCACCTTTATGCAGACGATTCTCAAATATACCTATCCTTTTCTCCCCCTGAGCTATTGGTAGCATTTACTAAGATCCAAGCAGACCTAGATCGAATCTGTGCCTGGGCAAAATTAAACGGATTAAGGTTAAATGCTTCAAAAACTCAGGCCATTGTCATTGGTTCCAAGCCCCTCCTTAGATCCTATACGGACTTTCCCATACTAAACCTTGGTGACCAGCCAATCTCCTTCTACTCCTCTGTAAAAAATTTAGGACTATTTATTGATCAAACCCTCTCCTAGAGTCACCATATTTCTCACATCTCCCGACGGACAGTTTCTACCCTCAAACTATTCCATTGCTTCCGCCATCTCCTACCTCAACATACGCACAGACTCCTCGTTTTCTCTCTCATCTTCCCCCACTTTGACTACTGCTGTGTGGTATATGATGGACTCTCGGTGGAGCTCCGCGACAGACTGAAAAGAATAATGAACAGTTGCGTGAGATTTGTAATTGGTGCCCCGAGATACTACCATGTCTCTCACCATTACACTGAGTTAGAGTGGCTCTTCCCCTCCATTCGAAGACAATATTTCCTAGGTACATTCCTCTATCATATCATCAACAATCATCGTCCTTCCTACGCCTACAACCTTCTCCAATTCAAGTCCTCAGTCCACTCCCTCTCCACAAGATCTCGACCTTCCGATCTTTACATTCCTTCTCACAGATCTGCCTCGTTCCAAAACTCCTTTATTGCACGTTCTGTTAGTTTCTGGAATTCCCTTCCTATCAAAATTCGACATTCTTCATCCTTATCTACATTCAAAACCCTCCTATTCCAATTCCTGTCCCAAAAACAGTCAGGCACCAGCTAATCTTTTATGTAAAATTACACATTATCTATAAGACCATATTCACATATAGCTCATGACCTGAATACTTATTATAGATTAGACTTTCTTTTTCTCTTTTTTTTTTTTTTCAACAGAAACAGATTTTACTGTTAAGAAGAATATACATTTATTTTTTCTGTATTTTTTATTTTTTCTAAAAGGGTTTATTTATATTTTAACATTGTACATAGTTTTAAGTATCCTAGTATGGTTTCAAGAGTTTTTTATATAGATTTTTTTTTTTTTATTTTGTATATAGTATGTATAACCAATATTTTTTTCTTTTCTTTTCTTTAATGACCTATCATTATCTTAATTTGTTATGTTTGTTTTTATCTGGCCAGATGTAAAATTTTAATTTCTGTACTTTTTTGTTATTCTGAAGGGACTTCGTCCCAGAATAAAATTATTTTTATATTCTATTCTATTCTATATTGGTAGATCAGTAATTTGTTGTTAATTGAAAGTTGAAATTTTCTGGACAGTAGTCTGTATAATTGGCCGTATCGTCGGTTAAGGCATCAGTAATGAATGTTAATATTATTTTTTCCTGTTGGTTTTACAGAACTTTTGACGCCTTAACCAGCCTTATTAATTTCGCCCTATCTTGGGCTATTTTTTTCCAATTATTTGTATGCTTTTCTATTGCAGCTTTGTTGATTAGAACTAATCACTAATATATATGTACCACCACAGGTATAATGTTGATTTGAACAATGGAATATCTCGATTAATAATGTTGAAACGTAGGGTACTACAGTAAAAGATAGTTTACATTTAAGTATCTAATTTATGACCTAGGCCCAGAACAGAGAGTACTAGTTTGTTCACGTAAAACCTGAATCATTTTATATAAGAACTAAGGCAAGTAGTTATATCGAGACTTATGTAAAAAAAACTAACATTCAATAAGAAAATATAAAAGGGGAGAACACTCAAAAATGAAAACTAGATAGATAGGTAGATAGGAAATAACTCTATTCAGGGACAAAGTATGTTGAGAATAACAAAATAGAATAAAATTGAACGATTACATCTGGCCTACATAGTGTTTTCTCTCAAGGTCTGATGAGGTTCAAAGATGAAATCATGGAAAAAATAAGAAACCATCATTCATCCAAGGACATCGACAGAGTGTTAAACTCTAAATCAAACCCAAGTTATAGAAAAATCTGCTCCTTTAATGTTACCAGACCAGAGGATTATCTTCAGTTCAGAGCTCTGAATTTAAACAAATTAAGAGCCGTTAGTCGTCTCAGAGTAGCAAGTAAAGATTTTATGAAAATATACTTAAAAGATGCTACTTTGACTATTAAATCCAGTGAGGTATGTGGTGCATGCAACTGCCTTGTAACTGACCCGGTAACTCATTTTCTGATCCAATGTATCAAGTTCAATGAGCCAAGAAATAAGTACTTGAAGGCATTTATCACTGAATCCAGAGAAGATGCTAGTGTGGAGGAGATACTGAAAATAGACACTACGAAAAAAATAAACCAACTGTATTATTTCATACAGGGCTGTTCATTGAACTGTTAAGTGGTAAAGTTAATCATATAACATATATTAATGCTTATTTATATTGTCATTTGTCTTATACCTCTCGAATATTTAAAAAAAAATAATAATAATAAATAAAAAAAATAAAATAAAAAAAATGTTTTACTAATTGTTATGTATATATATATATATATATATATATATAATATATATATATATATATATATATATATCGTT